GGGGCAGGGGTAGGGGCAGATCCAAAGCCAGGGGCGCACCTTGGAGTAGAAGTGCACGACAGTCGGCACCCGCGGACCGACGCGAGCCTCGATGTGTGCCACGAAGTTGTGCTTGGTCAAGCGAGCGAGCGAGCCAAATCCGAGCCCCTCCAGGCGGCTGAGCACCCCAATTGAGGCAGGCAAATGGCCGTGTCAGTAGCGGTGGCAGGGATTCCTGCCTGGGAGGGGACGCCCTCGGTGCAGGCGCAGGTGTGACGCACCTGATTGTCCGCTCGTGCTCCTTCTCGCGCTGCAGGCGAAGGATGTCCTTAAACTCGTCCAGCAGATCATCGGCCAGAATGCCATCTTCCAGATCGCCGCGCAGCAGGCGATCAATCTCACAGTCATCACTATCGAGGCCGGAGTCATCATCGTCAGACAGGGCGGCCGATGGGGCAGCCGAGGCTGCCCGGCGCGCCTCCTTCTCTCGGCGCCGAGCATCGGCCTTCTGCCGGGCCGCGTGGCGGGCATCGGCAATGACACCCTTGACGCCGGTTTGGGGGCCGGGGCGCCGGGTGCCAGCGGCGGCGGCTGCCATGGCGGCCGGCGGCAGGCCGGCCGCCTCTCCATCATCATGGTCGTGGTCCGAGTCGCCGCAGTCGCCCTCGGCGCAGTCGGAATACTCGCCGCCGCTGCTGGCACCGGAGTCGGCCCCGCGGCGGTCGCCCTCGGTGTCGCGCTGCTGCGCGGCGAAGTACGACCCGTCGAGGATGCTCCGCTCAAGATCCATGGTGGGGTTGTGGAGGTGGGGTCGTGAAGGGATGGGAGGGGGGGAGGGGGTAGTGGTGCAGGAGGGGATACATGTGGTCCTCGGTCTTGGGCGAGGCGCGTGGGCTCGGCTCGCCTTGAGGGGACGAGCGGAGTTTCTCCCCCCCCCCCCCCCCCCCCCGGAGGGGCCCATCTCGGCTCTCGGGTAGTCCATCGAGGGAAGCCCGAGCCGGGGGACAACAGCCCCCGGGTCCCGCCACGGCACTTTCAGAGGAGAGGCTCTCTCAGAAGAGCTCCCACAAAAGGCGAGAGGCGGGGAGATGGCAGCACTGTCAATAGAATTCTAGCCCCTGGACAAAGATCGCAATGGGCCGCATATCCACGTGATGCCCGCATCACGGCCTGCCTGCACCTCGACTTGTCGATCCCCCCCCCCCCGGGCTTCTCTCCGGTTGGAGGATGTGCCTTGTGCCGATCTGGGCAGCGGCCAAAAGAGGGTCCGGGGATCGGACCCAGGCATATTCTCGATCGCGCTCATCGGCCGATGTCGCTGGCGGCTGATCTGGCTTGGCCCTTCCTTAAACCGCACTTGGGCCTCCTCTCTCCATCTCTCTCCCTCTGTCGCCGAATCTTCGGGCGAGGAGGGGGGGGGGGGGGGGGGGGGGCTACGTAGATGACTAAGAGATCCCACACCTTCGACGCCAAGGCAGGCAAACATACCCCTCTCCACCTTCCCTCCTCCGAATTACCCCCCCTCCCCCCCCCCCCGCTGTTTTAGCCGCCTTTTCTTCCTCCATCTCATCCGCCCCATTTTCCGCCGGGACCATGGGAGACGTTCTGCTCATCTCGGGACCGGACAGCTGTCTTATCACCTTCTCAGATGCCCAGGCTGGTGAGGCCAACGACCGGAGTACGGATTGCCTGTCCCGTCCCTCCTCCTGCCCCTCTCTTTCCGTTTTCTTTCTCCCTTTCCCCTCTCTTTGCCCCTCCTCCGGCCACCGTCCCTCCTTTGCTGTGGCTCGCCTTCCCCGGACTCACCTTCCCTGTGGCGAAGACCCCCTTGTCGGTGTCACCGGTTTCCCGGAGTATTTCTCCATCTCGGATGTGGTCAAATCCCTCTGGCTTTTCCGGAATCACATCGTGAACGCCTGGCTCCTGATGTACCTCTACCCCGACCGGTTCCCCTTTCAAAGCGCCTCATGGGTGACTCACGCTCCGTCCTCCTCCTGCCCCCCCCCCCCCCTCCCTCCCCCCTCCGGTCCAGGTGCCATGAGGACAGTCCCGAGGGCAATGCTCTGCTGGTCCTCTTCGACCAAACTGAGCTGGCGCTGTCCTTTGTCCATGCGCTCAACAAGCGGCCCTTATGGTCACAAACGACCAGCCTCTGTCACATTCGCTTTGTCTCCGACATCGAGGTAAATGCCCTGAGCTTGCGGGACTTCCCCTCGCGGCCGGGCAAGGAGGTGATCGGCCTCCAGCATCTATCGGACTTTGCCCAGCAGGTCATCTCGCTGATGTGGCAAAATGAGTCCTACATCCAGGTATGCTCGCACAAGTTGGCCATCCTCCTGAATGGGCCCTTGTGTCCGCAAGAAGTCTCGCCTGAGGTCTTTCCATCACTCCATTCATCTGTCCCCTCCTCCCCCCTCCTCCCCCCCCTCTCTCTCTCTCTCCCTCCCTCTGACTCCCCCCATTGGCCTGCCTCCTGCCCAGCTCTCTGGCTCCTTTTGTCTTTTCTGCTTGGACCCCATGAAGCCGGATCTTGCCGGTGGCGGTCTCTTCACGCTGCCCTGTCATCATTGTTTCCACTTCCAGTGCTTGCTGAAGTGGGACAGTCCACATTGCCCCTTGTGCCGAGAATCGGTCCTGGCGTCCGAGCGGCGATACCCGGCGCGGGATGCCGCACTCCCTGGCGACGCCCCCGGTGCCCAGACACAGGCCACCGCTCCGATTGCCATGCCCCTGGCGCCCGTACTGGCATCCACCAGCTCCCTGGATGGACTTCCACGCTCGCTACTGGCCAAGAGTGAGCATGAGGAGTCTGCAAGCACGGCAGCGGCGGCCGCAGCCATGGCAGCGGCCACCTCTGCGGGGCGCCTGCCGCCTTCCCAGCCCGAGCAGCGCTGTTTCGAGTGCCACCGCCAAGAGTCGAACCAGGGCGGCTCCCCTCCCTCGACGCAGGCCGCCGCCTCCGCCCCCGGCCGCAAGCCCCCCCTACTGACGGATACATTGCGAGACCTGTCCGGGGAGGATTTCTCCCCGGACTCCCTTTGGATGTGTCTCATTTGCGGGCATATCGGCTGTGGCCGGTATGCCGGCCATGGGGCGCACGCACATGCGCACTTTATCCAGACGGGCCATCCCTTTGTTATCGACATCAGTTCCGCATCGCGGCCCGTGTGGCATTATTCCGAAGACCGATATGTCCATCGTCTGATCACCAGCGCGGCGTCCGGGAAGTGCGTCGAAGTGGAGCCACCCTCGCCGCCGTCGAGCGACGGCTCCTCGCGGGGCACACACTCGAAGGCCGCCCCGATGCCGAGTTCCCCATCCCCGGATGCCCCGTGCACCTGTTCTGCGGAGAATTATTGCCCGAAGGAGGGCCGGATAGAGCTTTGTCTGGCATGCTCAAGTCGTGTACGCCCTCTTCCCCCCCCCCCTTGTCTTTTTTGTACCTCTTCTCTCCCTCCCCTCACACCTCATGGGTGTGACATTTTCCCGCTGGCTGCGCCGGGGTAATAACATCCGGTCTTGCCCTGTCATTTGGCATTCAAGCCTCCGGAGCACTACTTTGGCGATGTCCTCCTGTCGAACCTGGATGCCTTGCATGAGTCCTACCGTCATCAAATTGAGCAGGTTCGTCACGGGCACTTATTTCCATGGATATCTCGCTCTCGCCGCCCTCCAACACCCACGTGTCTGTTTCTCGGCACTGTTCGGCGCGACTGACGCGCCGGATTGCGCACCCTCTTTGACGCGCCAGATGGAGGGCAAGTTCGTGGAAATCTTGCAGGAATCAACCGAACTGCATCTCGAGAAATTCCGCTCCATGGAGGCCTCTCTGCAGGAGGATCTGGCCCGAAGCCGAGCTCGAGAGGAGCGTCTTCGTCTGACGATCCGAGATGTGCGTGATCGCCTCCTCTGCCCTCGCTACCACCTTGAACTTTCTCCCTCACGCGTGCGCGCGCTCACCCTGTCCCTTATTTTCTCGTTTCCCCTCGCTCCTGGCTGATGGTATCTCGGGGACCCGTGTCGGGCTTGCCTGGCGAGTAGCATGAGCAGCGCTCTCTGGCCCAGCGAGATGCCCTCAAGGAAAAGGAGCTCATGCTGACTGGCCTACTGAGCAATGCCGAGGAGAATCAGCGGAAAATTGTACGTCAAGGTCCTTCTCCCAGTCGGGAGAGGTCAGTCCTCTCGGGGAAGGTAGCTGAGGCATGGCATACGTGATAGCCACAGTCAGTCGTACAGCTCGTTCCTGACAACATCCACCCCCCCCCCCCACACACAAAAGGCGGAGCGCGATGCTCAGATCGCCGAATTGAATGAGCAACTTCGTGACCTGATGCTCTCGCTGGACTTCTCCTCGCAACTCCAGGGACTAAGCCAGGCAGCGGCCGCCGAGGCAAACGGGGCCCCGGTTGGCGATCTGCTGGAGGGTGCCCAGATCATCCTCCGTGCGCCGGATCCACTGGCAGCTCGAGCCTCAAAGCAAAAGCCTCCCAGCTCGGCCGGTGGAGCGAAGGCGCGCCGTCGTCGGTGACAGAAAAACCGGCCAGCCCGGGCCTTGGCCGGCGTCCGCCGTTGGGATCCACCTCCCGGTGTACCTGCCCCACGTACGATCGGGGCCGGGCGGCCCGAATGGGGCGAGTGCGCGAATTGGGAAACACCGATCAAGCGCATCACGCGCAAATGTCTGGTCACATGGTGCATCTAAATATAATTTAGTGTTGCTTCTTGGGCGAGCTCGGATTCTCCCTCCCCCAGGGGGCCAGGGGGCGAGGGAACGTGTAGACCACTCTTCGGGTGTGTGTATGAGTGTCTGAGGCCACTCTGGTGTGTCTGGCTCGCGGGGGAAAAGGTGCCCCCGATGCCGGGCCCAGCCCGTCCTTCCCCCCCCCCCCTCTTCGTGGCCTGCTCGTTTGCCTTTTTGCCCTCCTTGCTTTGTCTTCGGTGATCCACAAGCGGGACCGGAGGGATTTGTAAGGTTGTAGGAGCATGGGGCGAGAGAAATGGAGGGCGGCCGGGCGGCCGGGCGGCGGGGGGCCAGTCGGGGCGCGTGTTTCTTGGTGCGCCTCCTGGAGTGTGGAGAGCGGTCTCTCACATGGGCGGGGCCCGGGTGCTCATGACCTCCTTTTGCTGTGTGCCCCCGACCGGAGGATGCCGGCCTCGGGGCCCCGCCGCCCTGGCCCGCCCCCCCTCTCCTTCCAGACGCCACTGTCCCAGAGGGCTCCAACGGGTCAGTGGGTAGTCCGGGTTGGTTTGCTGGCCCCGGCGTTCTGACTTCGGAATGGTGGCAGCAGTGGAGGCGGTGGCGGCGGAGGAGCCCATTCGCAATGAATAGATTCAGGCCGCCTGTCTGGCGAGACGGGGCTGGGTCCGGTGGCCCGGAAAAGGCCACAAGATGCGCCTGGCGACCGGTCGCCAGGCCGAGGGTCGTGCCTTGAGGCGGGAGGGGGGAGGACGAAGCAGAGCCGTGACCGTCGTCCTGCCCCCCCCTCGAGCGAGGGATTCCGAGCCCATCCGGCAACCTGCGCGCGCGGGACGAGATCAATTAATATATTGCGAGATAGAGACCCCGGCGGCGAACAGCCACTGCAAAGTATGTGTGAAAAAGGGCCCCGGTGAAAATCAGGCAAGAGAGGAGGGAGGGGGCCGGGGTCACCCGGCCTCCTTGCCGGTGGTCCGTGCAGCGTTTGCTCAGGACGTGCTGGTGGGATTCCAGGGTTCGGGTGGTTTTGATTCTTGTTGTTTTTTTTCCCCCCGTATCCGCAAGCAAGCGGATTTTTGAATCGGTCATTTTTGTCTGAGGCTACCGAATATGTCGCTGGTGGTGCGCTGGCCTTCGCCGGCACACACGTTCGCGCGACTGCCGCTTCTTCCGCGGTCCTTTCTTCGCTCGATATTCGCACTTGGGGGAGAGAGAGAGTCACACGATAGCGAGTTTGTCGTACGCCGGTCTTGTGTGCGGGGCGATCAGCCTTCGCCCCCCCCCCCCCCCCCCCCCGCCCGCCCACCAAGGCGGCGAGGAGCGAGGAGTG